TATCAAGAAAGAGTCTTACTGTGTCTTCGCTTGACGATGTCTTCTTGCAAGGGACAAAATGTGCCATCTTTGTAAGCCGATCTATGACAACAAAAATGCAGTCAAATGAATTCGATGGTGGTAGATCCGTAATAAAGTCCATGGAAACCGAAGACCATGGTCGACGCGGAATAGGCAATGGCTGTAGAAGTCCATAAGGCCGATGTCGAGGGTTTTTGGATCTTGAACAAATGTCACAAGATACAACAAAATCTTTCACATCCTTCCACATTTGAGGCCACCAAAAATCGCAGGAAATAAGTTCCAAGGTCTTATTGAATCCAAAATGTCCTGCAGTTGGAAAGTCATGACGAGATTGAAGAACTCGGAGTCGTGTTGGCCCTTTTGGGATATACAACCGCTCTTCAAAATATACTAGATCTCCTTCCATCTTGAATTTATCATTACTAGCATGTTGCTTGATATCAAGGACTAGAGAATCTTCAATGGTTGCGGCCCGTACCTGGTCGAGGAAGTCAGCATCAATTGGTACAATAGCTGCGTTGAGTCGAAATTTCTCTGGCTTCAACAATGTCGTGCACTGTTGATCAAATGTTGCATCTCCAGCCTTTGGCGCGAGATATGATCACTTTGATAATGCATCGGACAACCCTTGTTGCTTCCCAGGCCGATAAGTAATAACAAAGTCGAACTTGGATAGCGACATACTCCACCAGGCTTGACGCCGATTCAAAACCCGAGCCGACATAAAATACTCCAAATTCTTGTGATCCGTATATACTGTCACTGGATGTGCAGTTCCTTCGAGAAAGTGGCGCCATTCTTGGAAAGAATCTACTATAGCAAGGAGTTCCTTATCGTGGATCTCATAGTTGATCTCAGCAGCAGAGAATTTTCGAGAATAGAACGCAACTGGATGGAGCTTCTCATCTACGCCCATCTGTGAAAGTACAACTCCTAAAGCAAAATCCGAAGCATCTGTCTCCAAATAAAAGGCCTTTGTAAAGTCCGGATGTACCAAGATTGGAGCTGTAGTAAATACCATCTTCAAATCTTGGAATGCTTTTTCTGCGATAGGTCCCCATTCGAGCTTGTCCTTGCACGTTAACCGAGTGAGGAGGGCAGCAACTTGAGAATAATTCTTGATGAAGATTCGATAGTAGTTAGCAAATCCAAGAAAACATTGTACGTCCCTAACCGTCTTCGGAACTTCCCAAGACATGATTGCTTCCACCTTCTTTGGATCCATCTTCAATCCTTCCGTAGTCGCGATGAATCCCAAAAACTCCATCTCAGTTTGGTGAAATAAGCACTTCTCCAATTTGGCATAGAGTCCTCGCTCCCGTAGTTTTTTGAGTACCAGACGAACGTGCTTCTCATGTTCTTCCTCGTTCTTAGAAAATATCAAAATATCATCTAGATAGATGACAACAAAATCGTCTAGATGCTCTCGAAAGATGTCATTTATCATGTGTTGAAAGACCGCTGGAGCATTAGTAAGACCAAATGGCATGACATTGTATTCAAAATGGCCATACCTTGTTCGAAAAGTTGTCTTCCATTCATCTCCTTCCTTGATTCGCACAAGGTTGTAAGCTCCCCTTAAGTCAATCTTTGTAAAGATCCTTGCACGCCCAAGTTGTTCTAGAAGACCAGAGATCAAAGGCAGTGGGTAGCGATTCTTTTTTGTCACCTTGTTGAGACCTCGGTAGTCCACGCACATCCGTAGTGAGCCATCTTTCTTCTTCACAAATAAGATTGGTGCTCCAGCTGGCGACTTCGAATGACGGATGAAGTTCTTGGCTAGATTCTCGTCAATGTACTTTCGCAACTCAGTCAACTTCGTCTGCGACAAATTGTAGATTGGTCCAAAAGGTGGTTGTGCTCCTTCTTGCAATTCAATGGCACAATCATAGGGTCGATGCTCTGGCAGCATATCAGCATTCTTCTTTTCAAAGACATCTTTGAATTCTTCATACTGCTTTGGAATAACCAAAGTCGGAGTTGCATCTTCTCGAGTCGGAGTTGCAAAGATGACAAGAGGTGTATTTTGCTTGGCTTCCTTCATGAAAGCCCTTGCACCTATAAACAAGGATTTGTTTCTAGACATTGTCTTGGCAGATTCCACCTTCAAGGAGTTTGTTGGAAATGTCACTTTCCGCAACTTCCAATCTATCAATGGATTATATCTATCAAGCCAAGATAGTCCCAAAATGATAGGACATGAAGGGGACTTGATAACATTAAACACAATATTGCTCTCATGGTTTTCAAGACGTACCTTCAATGGTTTAGTTTCATGGATAACATTGCCCGAAGACAATGGTCGTCCATCTATGACTTCTACATGGACAGGCTTAAGTTTCTTTACAAGAGAAATATTGTGAAGCTTGGCAAACTCTTCATCTATAAAGCAAGCGGATGCACTCGAGTCTAATAAAGCATCGACTTATATTTCTTGAATACCCAGATGTAAAGATACCATAAAACAATCTGAAGGTTGAGTTGAGAGAAAGGGACCTTGATTAATTTTGGATGTTGAGATGTCCAGCCACACGGTCCCTATTGTGGCTGGACGTCCTTGTTTTCCTGCATGCTTGTACTCCTGAGTCTTGTTGTTTGAGGCTTCTGTTTCTTCCGACAATCTACAGCTTTATGGCCCGCTTCTCCGCAATATAAACACAAGTTTTGTTCAAACCGTCGCTTCCTTTCCTCAACTGTGAGGGATTTGAAACGTACCGCATCAATTTGCATGGGTTCAGGATCTATGGAGTGATTCTCTGGACCTTTTGAAAATGTAGCAGATGTTCCATCATTTCTCCAACCTGATCGTCTTTCTTGTCGTAATTCAAAGAGGCGGTTGTCACAAATAATTGCCTGAGATATAAGTTCTTTTAAAGTATCCGCCTTAGGCATGGTGATCAATAAGTTCTTGACATCATCTCTCAGTCCATATCGAAATCGTGTCATGAACGCCTTATCATTCCAATCAAGATCACATGTAAGCTGTTGAAATTCTGCAGCATAGATTGCAGCAGAACGTGATCCTTGTCACAGATTTTGTATCTTTCTTTCAGCTACTCTTTCTCGATCGCTATCTCCATACGCAGCAGTAAGTCTCTCTATGAAAGCCTCTAGGTCGTACAATATTGGAGAATCCTTCTCCAATACTGGAGCAAACCAAGAGCGAGCATTTCCTGATAGAAGAGTACCTATGAAAGCAACCTGGGTAAATCCATTCGGATAACGAGAAGGGTATAGGCGTAGGTAAAGCCGAACTTGTTGCACAAAACCTCGAAAGTTGGCTCTTGTTCCGTCAAACTTGTCTGGCATATTCGCTTTTGGTTCTTTCGTACTATTCCTTGAAGTATCTATAGGGGTCGTATGTGACACATGTCTTACTTCTCTCAGTCGAATAATCTCTTGTTGTAGGCTATGAATTTCGCGTCTAGCTTCTTCGGTCACTAGATCAATTTGAGGTTCTTTACTTGGATTGCGAAGAAATGCAATCTCCTTTCATACACTATTCATAAGAGTTTGAAAATCTGCAAGAGTTGCCACTCTATTGTCTACTTGTGGAGATGCAATGTCTATGACTTAGTCTACTTCCATATTTAGAGAATAGATGGATTAAAATTTTGAGAGAAGAAGAAATTGCTAAGTCTCTTGGAGAAAATTGTAGCACTACCTGTCACTAAAACCTACTCGGAGAAAAGGAAATAAAAACACTAAACGATTTCAGTTTTAGAGGATGGTAATCCGCAACCTCTAAAAATGCCTCAATGCTTTCGAGAAGAGGGGTAATCCGTACTCTATCAAGAAGGCAAAGCTCTGAAATCGATGTTAACAGTCTTTTCTACTAGCTATGCTAAACAAAAAGAAGGAATTAATATCAGTCCAAGAGAGGGTAATCCGCAACCCTTAGAACGCTCAAGTATCTCCAAGGAAAGGGGTAGTCCACTCTCTGCCTCAAAGAACTAAGCTCTGATATTGTGATTGAGAAAATATCAGTTTAGAGGAAGGTAATCCGCAACCCCTAAAGCGCTAGAATACCTTCAAGAAGAGGGGTAATCCACTCTCAAACAAGAAGGATTCAGCTCTGATATTAAGATAAAGGTAGTCTCGACAAACTGTCACGGACACAAAATACAGACTTGAAATCTAACAAGAAGTTCAAGAAGAAGTGGCAGAACTAGATTAAACAGATGAATACAAGAACAACACCAGAAAGGTGAGCTAGAACTCCAAGAGATGTGTTGTCGAGACTGAAGAACTCTTCAGCCTCGACTCCTATATATACTACTGGCCTATGGTTCTAAGGAAGTGTATCAAGAAGCTTCCCAAGAACTATGAAGCTTCTCGAGCAACTACCCAAGAGCTAGGAAGCTTCTCAAGTAACTTTCTAGAATCTACTAGAATATTCTAAGAATCTTCTAGAGCCTTCTAAGGGAATCTTTAGGGAATCTTCAAAGAATCTTTAGAGAATCTTTGAAGAATATTCTAAGAAAATATTCAAGGAATCTTCTGGAAGTTTCTAGAGACTTCTTTCTAAAAGGTTCTAGAAACTTGTCTCTAAAAAGGTGTAAGGACTATGTCCCTAACAACATGGAAGTAAACACTCTAAACAACCATTCCACAAAACCAAAACAATCTCACACAATCCAGTCCAATTACAATACCAACCAAAATATTTCATAAAAAAATCAAACAAATTAATAAATAAACAATAATCAATTTAAATATTGTTCCAATGTTGGACACTAGTTTTTTGAAAATGCAAAAGAAACGAAGTTCCAAAGTGAAAATGATGTCATGGAAATTCACTCTGAAAGTAGAAACTGCAAAAGTAAAAACTTAAAAAAATATTTCACACTAATAAGAAAGAGAGACTAATAATAATAAGAACAATAAGACGAAGAAAAGGGCTGTTAGTGCGAGAATGGACCCGCCCAAAAGGCCAGCGCGCAGTCTCTGTCGTCTTCGTCCTCGTCCTCGTCGTCAATCTCTTTCACTCTCTCTTTCTGTCTATTTCTCTGTCGAGCTCGAACTTTACCGCGGCGGGCAAGCAAGCACGTGAAATGAACGCTTAGCAACAATCGTGCCTCCCCCGCCCCGAAGCACTTGTTCCGAAGCACGGAAGACAGAGCAGCACTCAGCGTGCGTAGTAGTGTATGATAGCGAGAGTCCTCCTCGTTTACGATCAGACTCCACGCCACAGCTCAGCTCCCGTCACGACCACTGCTCTTCGCCAGCTTATCATCCCCGTGCATCATCGCACACTAGCATCGCACTGCAGAGCGTCGGGATCGGAATCTAATCCTCTGCGCAAGCAAGCCTTTGTGTTAGGTTTCTCGCCCGCCCCGGTGATGCTCGTCTTCCCCCCAAACTCGTGACATGTGCGGGATGATGTAGAGACAATTGTTGACGGTCATATCGAAGGTAGCGGGAGGGTGAGGAGGAGAAAAGAACAGTAAACGAGTTGCAAAATCTCGGGGATCGCGAGGGCGCCATGAGGGTGAGTCGCCTTGAGTGCTTTTAGCCACAGATCTGTCGATTTTTAAAAAATTCTTTTGGTTTCCTGTTTAGGATATCTGTGGTTTGTGTGAGGTTTTGGTGTGGTTAGGCGATAGGAGTGGTTTAAGGGAAGTGGCGTCATGATCGCCGATGCTTGCTCTTCAGGTTGCGGAAAGGGACGGTGGATACCGTGATAGCAATGGTGGGAGGGCTAACACGAAGGGGCCATCGGTCTCTTCCTTCCCGACCTTATCGATTGATGACTTCAAGGTGAGAGGGAATAGCATGCATTTGTTCGGGAATGTCAAGGAGCTGGGAAATTTGAAGTTTCTCGACGGATGTTTTCAATTGAACACGCATTTCTTGATGAGCCTGCACGGGACTTCTAACAGCTATTTGCTTAGGTTGTTGGAAGACCTAAGTGGATTTGTAATGTCCTTCTTTGTGGCCTTAGTATGTAGTGCACAGAGAGTTTAGGTTTGGAACTTCGCTTTAGTTCATTTTAAATAACAACTAATGGGTTTGCCTACTGTTTTTAAATTCCATGAAGGTGGACTCAGTTAGAGCCTCATTAAAGAATCACAGACGACCTGCATGTAGTTTCATTATTGGGAGACTCACGACAACGTATGTTGTAGAAGAACTTAGCTCCGAAAGTGGACCAAACAGCTGATTGGCAGTGTGAGCAGGCATGAAGTGGACAATGCTTCTAACTCCTTTTTCAATATCGCAATTATTGCAGGGCGCATTCTCCTTCGATGATTTTTTCCAGAACATTGTGACGGATGTATTGCCACCTGCCGATGAATCCAAACCTTTTGATGGAAGTCAGAGTTTTGGCAATGGGAGTTCAGTAGACAGTGGAGGTAAAGGAAATGACTTCTTGGTTGGTCAACCATTTGCGGAGGCTGGAGTCCTTCTCCCTCTATGCAGGGATGCGCGAAGTGAACTCGTGGAGCTCTGCTACAAGGTCTGTAGTGTCTTCAGAATTTCCTCTCGATGCGTATGATAAAATACAGAATCAATCACCAGCAGTACTTTTAGGTTAATGAACTGACTCGCTGACGGTTTTTTTAGGTGGATTCGCGGTTGGAGAATCTCAAAGACGAAGTTTCCAACTATGACTCGAAACATGAGCAGAAATTTGCTGAGGTGAGACGCCTGCCATGCGACAGTCTCTCTTAGTTGTCAATCACAGTTACATGGCTTGTAATCTTTCCGCTGCATGGCTATGATGACAGAATTATGAATGCTTTAGGCAGATTTTTTTTTTTTTAGAAACTAAGCTGGTTATTACATGATCTGAGCAATGTTTTAGAATTTCTTATTTCAAGGAAGCCATATGCGGTGTAAGTAGCTGACAAACGGTCTTGCTGGCACTTTCAAAGCTTTTGATGTTTAGACGTTGAATAGAATTGATTGTCTTGCGATTTTTAAGAGGGATCGTTTGGTTCAAACGTTATACCGAGGTCGATTTTTACTTTTTCTATGTTTTCTGGAGTTGTCTCCTGCCTTTTTGAACATAGTGATTGAAATGTGATTTCGTTTCGCAGCTAGAGAATGGTGTTGCGGCCCTGTTTGAGAGCTTCAGCCGGCTTGATTCACGGATCTCAGGTGTAGGTCAGACTGCTGCTAGAATCGGAGATCATCTTCAGGTATCCTTTTCATCTTCTTGTCTCTCTTGTTAGAACTAGATCGTTTTGTACTATTTTTTTATACGTAAAACTAATATTCTGGTTATTCTTGGATTTTCCACAAACCTTCATTAGCAGCTTTTCCTGGTCATGAATTATCGTTCTTTTAATCTTGTAAGCTTAGTTATGAACCTGACGAGGGTGTTGAACCGCTTAAGTGCAGAACGCAGATGCTCAGAGGAAAGCTGCCAGTCAAACTATCGATCTGATTAAGGTATGGTACAGTCTAAGGATGTTTGGAGCTAGAAGAAATTGAGTAGTGGATGAATTTTAGTATAAATTGTTCAGAATGGCAGTTCCAAATTATTCCGAAGTCGAAGTATGAGATTGTTTTGTCGTGAAGGTTTATAGGTCCTCCCCAGAAGTTTCATCCTGCTTGTGGATGCTCACTGCTAGTGAGATGATATGGTTGTGTCAGGCTATGTCAAGTCTTAGTTAATTAATTCTATGCGTCTTGCCAAACAGTATTTGATGGAGTTCAATGGAAGTTTGGGAGATTTAATGGAGCTCTCTTCTTTATTTACTGATGATGCGCGCGTTGCAGAGGCAGCTGCTGTTGCTCAGAAGCTTCGTAAGTTTGGACTTGTCTTCCTTACATTGAGCATAAAATAATTGTATGTCTTCGCGCAAGATGTCATGGTAGTACTAGTAACATGTAGAAACATATTTCAGAGATGTGGCACGTAGTAGTTTTCAGAATCTGCGCCTGGGCTTTGAATGAAGGGTGATTTGACAGTGTTGCAGTCGCAACTTTGCTTCTTCCAGATATGGTAATGGTGGGATTAGGTGTGTTGTGTGAATCCGATGATTGCAACTCTTAGTGATTCATAGTCTTCAATAGCTTGTCATGGAATAGGATTTTGTATTGTTATGTCACTGACATCTGAAATAGATCGTTGTGAATGCTAGTTGGTCCAGAAATTGCGCTAAGACCGTACTTTCAGTTCCTGTTAAATGGTTTAGGGTTTGGCGCTAAGACCTTGATCCAGGTATTTGATGTTGGAGGTAGTCGAGTACTGAAGGTTTCAATATGTCTCGGAGTGTGCTGTTGCAGGATTGATCGCGGAGGAGGGAATTGGTATTTATGGTGGATATTCAGGGCAACAGAAGAGTGGCACCAATGTAACTCCAGGCTTGGAAGTGGCGGTGTCGAACCTTCAAGATTATTGCAATGGTATGAACAGGATTTTTATTTTAGTATCGTCAATCGAAGTTTTGAATGATGATATTCTGCTCATATGATTATTGCTCAACATTTATGTTTTAGCCAAATTACGGTGTGATTTGTACGTGTTACACTGGTTGATACGAGTCACGTGTTATTAGGAATATATGCCTCCATATGGGCAGATACGGTAGTCAATATCCATCTTATCGAGGGCTAAACTTCATCTCAGCAGCATGGAAGCTTGCCCTTTTCGGACTTATGTCTTTTCCTAAGTGCCTATAACTCGTCAAACGTATGTAAAGTATTGTCTCTATTGCAACAGAACTTGAAAATCGACTCTTAATTCGATTTGATAATGCCGCACAAAAGTGGGAGCTGTCTACAATGGCCGAGTGTGCTAAGATTTTAAGTCAGGTAATTATTGAAATGCTCGTATTTGTGCTTTGTATCCATACCGATGTAAGTGAAGGAGCACATGTCTGTTAATATGGTTCCATAAATTGCCGATGGTTGGTTGAACATCTGTGCAAATTATGCTTGATCTTTGTTCATCTCAAGTTCTGTTTACACTCTGATGCTATTCTCCGACTAATTGTGTCTCGATGTGGTACCTTGGTACAGTTCAATAGAGGATCGAGTGCAATGCAGCGCTACGTCGCATCACGACCAATGTTCCTGGATGCAGAGATTATGAATTTGGATGCTCGCACTGTCAAGGGTGAGTTTGGACCAGGAGGCGTTCCAAATGTCACCAAGGGTCTTCAATCTCTTTACAAGGAAATTGCAGGTGTGTACGTTTTCAACTTCTTGAATACTGTGGGATTCGTCAAGGGTGTTCCAACATAGGGCACTGGGCTATTTTTATGCTGGAATTTGTAGGTGTATCATATCTGAATGTGCCTTTCTATCTAATAATAGGATATACGTAATTTTTACATTCATTATCTGCCATGCATGAATGTTCTTCATTTCAGGATTGTAAATGACATGCTCAATGGGCGGAGTTGCTCTTTTGGAATGTCGTGGCCTAATTCTGATTGTTTCAGAAATGTATGAATTTTCTAATTGGTTCAAAATTTTATTTTGAAGAAACTGTACGGAAAGAAGCTGCAACTGTATCTGCTGTATTTCCGTCTCCTGATGCTGTTATGGCTATACTTGTTCAGGTGGGCAAAAAATTAAGTCATGTGACATTGACATTATAGATGTTCAACAATGATTTTTTTTATTGAAGCTCACAATTTCCCAAGCTTTGGATAATGCGGTTTTTGTGTCTTGACACTGGAACGAATGATGCTTTGATGTTGCAGCGTGTGATGGAACAAAGAGTGGATAATGTGGTGGCAAATATACTACCTAGATTGTCCCTCACAAATCCCAGACCCATGGAGGATGGTGGATTTCAAGAGGTGATTTATTCCTTGATACTTTTCTCCTGTTTTGGTTGAGATAACTTGACAATTTCGTCTTCAAGTTCTCAACAAATGTTGTAGGTTGTTCATATACGTAGACTATTTTCAAGATTTATCAAGGAAGTTAGTATGTTGACAACTGCTTCACATAACTGTTTGATGGTCATGCTTCCCTGTTTTGCCTGAAGTTCAGGATGAAGATGCTCTATTTTTATCGTTTAGACTTGCCTACATCGTATATAAGCAGAAATTCACCATCAAACCTAATATTTTTTGTCAGTTCATCTACAGTTCTGATTTGAAAGCTGTACAACTTGTGATACATTCTGCTGCTTTTACAGTACCTTCGCATTCTTGCTGGATCATATGAGAAGACGCAAGAGTTGGCTAAAGAGCTTCACGCCATTGGGTGTGGGGATTTGGATGTGGAAGGTATAATGTTTTATCCGACTATAATGTTCCTCACCCTCGCTATTTGATTATATACAAGCATCTGAAGGTGTTTCTGCTGTAAGCTTTTATATTTTAATGACAAGTGTTTGATGTCGACACTTGGGGCAATGATTCTTGAAGACTACTGAACACGTAATTTGCACATTTCGATGCTCAGGTCTTGCCGAGTCTCTTTTCTCTTCACACAGAGAAGACTACGTTGAAATTGAACAAGCATCACTGACTCAGCTTTTCCAGCACAGGGTACGTGTACATTGTGTACAGCGTTCTGCACAAGAAAGAGCCATTTTAACTTTGCATCTGCATAGTTTGGAGCGCGTCTGAAAGATGTTACAGTATAAAGGAGTTTTGTGGGTTAGCCTGTTAATATTTTGCTTTAACCGTAGATGGAATTATTATGGCGTTGTCATTTCCAGTTAGTCATTGCTGACTGTGTTGGGTTTTGGCAAGGTTGGAATGGGACTATTTGTGATCTAACATTTGATGGTGAGTAGGTGGCTGAATTGAAATCTGGTATCGGTCTTGATGCTGCCTATCCTACAACAGCGCCAAGGCTGAACTCTCGAAATGGTATGGCGTCTGCCAATACCACAATTTCTGTAACAGTAGTTGGAGAGTTTGTCCAATGGAATGAAGAAGCTATTGCTCGTTGCACTCTCCTCACTCCCCAGGTAAAGTTTGGGGTTCTTTCATTTTCCTTAAGGTGGACGTAACACTGTTGTTTTCTAGTTCAGAAACTTTGCTTTGTGTAGTCCTTTTATTATTTCTCTCTCCATCTTGTCGAATGAAGTTTTGTATATTTCGAAGAATTTGGTTTGGCATGTTTTGGCTGCATAAAGGGTCCTTTTCCTTAGGTATTGGTTAGAACTTATTTTGTGAAATCAGTAGAGAGATACTGTCTTACAATGACTCCTCACATGGATATCTTTTGCTGCGATCACGGTTCTTTTATTTCAGTGATGCTGATGATTTGGTTTCTGTTTGCAGGCTGCTACTTTAGCAACCAACGTGAGGGCTATCTTTCTTTGTTTGCTTGATCAGGTACCGAATATCAGTACTTCGTAATACGTTTATCGTCGTCAACCATATCCGTAGCACTTAGTGAATTAAAGCATAAAGTTGGAGCATATCTCAAAAAGATGTTATTGTATGTTTTCAGGTTAGCCAATACACTACAGAAGGACTGGAGAGAGCAATGGATGCGTTGAATGAAGCAGCTCAGCAACGGAACTTGTACTCTATTGGTTCTACTGTCAGCCGACGTGTGGCTGCTGCAGCGGCTACTGCGGTATGTGATGTAGATGTTTTATTTAGAGATTGTGTGGTGATATCATGTTGACTTCTACTAATCTTGCGTCTGTATATGAGTAAAAAGTTATCTCAGCGCTGGTATTATTGATCTGCGTTAGCTCGTATCTTATCTTCATGGGATGTGTTGGGTTGTGACAAGAGAATCACATGCTTGTTGCGTTCGCTACTTGTCTTCGCTTGTTATGAAAGTTGGAACCACGATTCGTACAGGCAGAGGCTGCTGCAGCTGCAGGAGAAAGGGCTGTTCGTGGATTTATGGTGGCTGTCCAAAGAGCAACATCCAATGTTGCTCTTGTTCAACAAGTATGCTTTTTTCTGTAAATGATTTGATTGCTTCTTACAACAGTTTGTTGGCACTAGGTACTGATAATAGGTTCGTCATGCTTATGCTAGCAATTTTTTCGAAGCTCTAGATGTTTACTTTTCCTGCATTGAATTCTTGAGATCGTCAGCCGTCTATGTAGAATAATCTGGAGCACTTACATGACTTGGTTATTTTGTGCTGATATTGGTTCCTTTCTAGAAGTTGTGAAGTAATATCTGCTTGAAAAAAAGTCACTTTCTTATCTCTTATAATGATTAACCTGTGTTCTTTTGAGCAGCATTTCGTCAATTCTGTTGCTAGATTACTGCTACCAGTGGATGGAGCGCATGCTTCATGTTGTGAAGAGATGGCTACAGCAATGGCCCTCTCTGAGGCTTCAGCTTTGAAAGGTCTTCAAATTTGCATTGACACAATTATGGCTGAGGTATTACTTCTTGTTCTAGTTTATTATTATTATTTTGCAGGAAGGATCATTGAGGCAGTGCATGTAAAAACCAGATTATTGTCATGTGAACAGTAAAATCCTAAAAAGAAAGTTTGCTTCATCAGACATTGTTTGAGAGCTTACTTTATCTCAATCTTGCTTGTAGACGTTGGGGTGGGGGCGGGGGCGGGGGCGGGGGGAGGTTATGTTAAGTGTCTAACGACTTGAAATAAGTCTTGGTTAAGTTTCTCGACGATTGTGGATGTAGGTGGACCGTCTACTAGCTGCGGAGCAGAAGGCAATCGATTATAAACCAACAGACGATGGAAACGCACCCGATCATCGTCCCACAAATGCGTGTACCAAGTCAGTCGCTGTTATCTTTAGTCTCCTTTGTGTTTTATATCTTTCTTTCGATTTTGCCAAGGATATCATAGCTCTTTTATGGGATGATGAATTGTTAGCTTTTGCCACTTTCATCGAAATCTTTTAGATTTGTAGACAGTTGATAGTGAGCACTAGGTGTGCGCTAGCCTTTTCCGCATGGATCCCTCTGAGATGTTGGATTCTACCGAACATCTTTTTTCAGAGTCACTTCATATCTGGAGCACATGCTGGAAGCAGCCTATGGAGCGCTGGAAGGCCTCAATAAGCAAGCATTCATGACAGAGCTGGTATGTTTTGTCTTTGTTTTTTGTTTTATCCGTGTAAGGTCATGAATATATGATTGTGATCAGTCCCAACAGAAACGTAGTGCAATTGAATTTCAAGTGGCGGAAGCTAACATTTTACAGAGTGCTGAGCATGAAGTATTCATATTTTAGTCATCAATCATGGCATTATGGAGCGTGCTCAGTGGACTGTTAAACGGGAAGTTGTGCTCTTAGCAATCGTTTTAGTTAGTCAAGAATCTAATATGCAGAAGCGTACATGATAGTGTATGGTACGAAAAAAAAATGAAGTTTGACTGAATAGTCTGTAGTAAGTAACCGTTTTGTGGGTATATGGCTTGCGGTCTCTTTCTAAACAACTTGGTTCAATATTGCAGGGTAATCGTCTATATAAGGGCTTACTCGGACATTGGCAGCGGTTTACTTTCAGTGCTAGGTATCTTTTAGAACATGTACTTGCTAGCTTTATGTATTTTGTGATGCCCTCTCAATCTGAGGACCTACAATTCGTGGTGCTCGTTACTTACAAGCGTTATTTTTTATTTTTCTTTGTTTTTGAATATTTTTTCGTTTGCTGAGCAGTTTACATAAGATTGCATTTCTTGGCTGTCGGTATTTATTGCAAATTTCTTCGTTGCTTGCAGTGGGGGGCTCCGCTTGAAACGCGATGTATCTGAATATGCGGAGTTTGTTCGTAGTTTCAAAGCTCCAGCAGTGGATGAAAAGTTCGAGCTCCTTGGGACGTAAGTACTCTTAACCTTCACCATCCTGGTCATCCAAGTCAACCTCCAAAAAGTGTTACATAATCTTGTTGCATGGCATTTCACCATACTCAAGTTGAATCTTATTGTCTTGTGGTTGCGTGCAGGTTGGTCAATGTGTTCATTGTAGCACCTGACAGCTTACCCACTTTAGTTGACAGCAGTTTAAAACAAGCAAGAGCAGAGGCAATGAGGTATTTAACCAAAATTTAATACTGTGGTGTATTTGGATAGATGCCTGCTGCTCTTTATAATTCTTTCAAGTACCTCTTTTTTTTTTTTTTTTTTTTTTTTTTTTTTTTGTATCATTTAGTTTAGTTCCAATGATCTGCTCTATTTATATCACCTGTTGGAATGTAGGTTCATTGAGTTGCGGGAGGATTACAGGTCTGCAAAAATTGCGAGCAGGCTTACGGCTTTAGTCCACTGAATGTATTCCCTCAACCTGTTATGTACTTTTAGTTTTTCGTGGGAAAAAAGTAATTATACCAATCCTTACGTCCATTGCCTTAGTAGTTGGTGCGCAATGGCAGAAAATTGCAGGACTCTTGCAACCTTCAGTGATGTAGCTCAGTTCTGTTTACGTGGAAGGTGTAGTTCAGGGGTTGGGCTACAAGTCCCAGAATAATCTGCCTTTTTAAACATCATCAATGTACTTGAATTTTTTGATGAATGTTGGGATCATTGCTCTGCACTAGAGGGCTTGGAGCGTGGTTTGTATTAGGCCTAGAATTATAATCTTACAGGAAGAGGTTTCTTGGTCTGATAATGTTTGCGATGCTACAGATCTTCTATGATTTGACTATGTTTAACTGGCAGAATTTTTAGACGAGGTTTAAGATAATAATAGCGGGTACTTGGGAAATCTTTCTTGGCTGTATGATTTGTATTGTTGACATCGATTGTATATATTGGATTTTACTGATAAATTGTAGCCGCTTCTCTTTTACTCTGGACATGCTCATGTTCAAAGCTGTATAATGTGGTATAATCACTAATAGATCTTGCATTGGGCCTAGATATAGTTTCACTTGTCCTAGTTTCTGGACATTGGAGGCTTTGATTTTGAACAGGAACGGAAAAGCAGCATAATTTCAGAAGATTTCGCCGAAGATTAGGTTCTTTCAAGACTAATGTGCTGTTTTGCTAAGGAATATTTATCAAGTTCTTTCTTCTCCCGAAACGCATTTGACTTGATCTACTTCGTCCCACACCATCCGGGAAAAGCCAATTGGATTGAGTTACTGCTTCTGAATTTCTGAAAATGGTCCGCTTGGAGGTTCAAGCGGACTACGACTGTCGCAGTAGCCAGCCGTCACCCTGGTGCATGCAAACTTAGCCCAAATAGTCGGGTTCGAAGTTTGCAAATATGTGCTGATGAATGGATAATTTTAAGCTTGCACTGCACTTTAAAAGAACAATCGTTCAACAGGATCAGTCAGAGCTGTGAAATCTTCGAAACTATTACAGGTGAAGCTGATGAAAGCACGGATGAATTGCCGAAGAAACTGCAACTTTTATTGGAACGAAGCAAACAAGGAAGCGTCTATCTAGGTCAAACTTCCAACCAGGCTTGAGCGCGGAGTGCTGCGAGTGTAGGAAAGGGTGTTGCCAAACACCCAGAATTCTTTTCGATATGGTCGATCAATAGATACCAAGATGGCTCCCCTCGCTTGTGGATTCCGTTGTTGAATCTGCAAACACTAAAGAAGTACCTAGTTTCTCTTTGAGCATTACAGACGGTACCCAACTCATCGTATTGGTCTTTTAGTAGAGCGACTGCCATGTTTCCTTCGGAACACCTTTTAGTTGCATTGCAGCTTCTTGTTCTGTAGTGCCTCCAAAGGGTAGGCACATATTATCAAAGTTGCGGTATAAACCCACAAACATACTTTGTGTTGCAAGATGTCAACATCGATATAAGAGTGTTATTCTTGAAATTAGAGCTGGGCAGTGTGAGTGATTTGGATAATCTAGTTCTAAGCAGTTTAAGGTAGAGATTGGAAGACGGATAATTTTTAAAAAATGAGGATTGTAAGTCTAATTGAATTTATTTAGTTAATCCAACACAATTAGAGTAAAAAGTATCATTATTGAGTATATTTGAGTTTGTAATATTTATTTGATTGGATATGAAATACATTTTGTGTCTACTTTATAATACATGAATGAATTATTCTTTAGTTGTCCAATATGATATCAAGTTGTTTGTTCATGTATTCAATTTTTGAAAATTTTATTTTATCAATGCAATCCATCTAATCTAAATATTTCTTATAATTGATTAATAATCTTGAATTCATTGTAAATAATTGAACAATTTAACTCAAGTTCATATGTATTTTCAAAAAAGAAAAGAATGTTGGAAAAAATATATAATTATATGACATATTTTTATTTATTTTTAATATTGAAAAGTAAAAAAAAACATAAATAATGTGATTGCACTTTCTAAAAAGAGAGATTGGAGTAGTTATTCAATTCATAAAATCAATAGCAATATATTTGAATTGTCATGATTATTGATATTTTTCATCACAATTTTGTAATTATTTATAATTATTTGTAATTATTTGTAATTTTCATAATTATATATATATAATTATATATATATATATATGCCATTATGTATATATATATATATATATATATATATATATATATATGCCATTATGTATATATATATATATATATATATATATATATATATATGCCATTATGTATATATATATATATATATATATATATATTTAATCATATTTTTGTTTTATACTTTATATATATATATATTATAATTACTTTCTAATTAAATCTTTAGAATCATATTCATATTTAGTACATAATATTAATTAAATTAAGAAAAACATATATAATAAGAATTTGACAATTTACAAAGTGGTCTTACTTTCACTTACTTTTAAAAAATATTTTATGTTTTTTTTCCTAAGATCATGTTTTTGTCTTTATTCTTCTTTGTCTTGATTCTAGAATATTAGACAATAAGTATTATATATTTTAGTTGAATGCTCTTTGACTAATTAATCATTAAAAGATTTCTAATTAAAAAAAATATGGAATACAAATAAGGTAAAAGTATTATGTCATTGATAATTTTAACTTGTTATAAAATAATTTATTAAATATTTTCTTGTTAATAATATAAAGGACACATTAGATATTATTATCAAAAAATAATATATCATAAAAAACCAAATATATATATATATATATATATATCAAATGATAATTTTAAGAAAAAAAGGTATTTTATATAAATAATAATATAGGAATAAATCATCATCCAAATTTGTAACAAACCATCTTCTAAATCCAATCTAAACGAATTACAATCATACAAACTATTGATCAATTGTACATTACTTGCATCCAAATAACAATTGTCCATTCAAATTTTTTAATTTTATATTACCCAATGATTTGATCACAATCATGTAAGTACATTCACATGCAAAAAGAAAATATACATCCACTTCTTTCTTCCTTCTCTCCTCCCTCCATCTCCAATAAGCCTTTGATAAGTCTAAACATAGAAATTTAATGCATTATATTTGTTTCTTTTACATGGTCTATAATTGTATGCAAAGTATGGGAGCAGCTTGATAGGTAGGCACATTTTAGCATCCAAAACTGTCAACAATCATCCAAATCTCTCTACTCTATATGACAATCATAATATGGAAGTAATTGAATGTTGCATATTTCTACTCTAATACTACAAGAAATTTCTTAGTAGTGGTCATTTTTGTTTTGCTCCACACCTTCAATCAATTGCTGCACTACACCTCATGCAATTTTTATGTGCCTTACTTGTGACTTTGGTTCTTGAAGCATTGAAATTATCGCTATTAGAATCTTGACTTGCACACATGCCTATACTTCATCCACATTTGTATCCTTTGCAATTGGAATTGTTGCATAAAATTACTATATACTTGATAGTCCGTGCAATTATAGTTCCTTTAAGGTAGATCTAGATAATGGTTTTTTTATAAATCTTGATTGGTTGTTATTGTCAAGGGATGTATTTATAAGTTGGTTTGGTAATATCACAACTTAATTAGTTGCAAGACAATCAACAATACTTTTCTTTGATGAATGATTTCACAATTATCTAGTGTACCATATTTTGTTTTGTTGTGTGTACAAATGTGAAGTTCCATGGATTCATTGCCATTCCCTATCATGAAATTGAGTGGCCTTAAGTATGAAAGATGCTTGCAAAGGTGAAACATATTAGATGTGCAAGACTATGAAGTTGGGGAGGAAGTCTATTATTCATTGTAAGACTAGAAATCATGGCAGGACTAAAGAAACAAAGTTCAATTTTTTTTTGGAGGCTCTGACTCTAGAAACCTTGCTTGCTTATAAGTCAATGGAACCACCAAAGGAAGTTGTCTGCCCCTTGACTCCATGGTCATTGCAAATGTCAATCTTATCAAGAAGCCAATTATAGGCCCTCATTTGTTTTGGATGTTTGTATTGTAATTTGAGGTGTATGTATAGCAATTTGGGATATGCTTGTGGCTTGAGCCATACCCTAATGTTCTTTACATTGCTAATATTCTTAATAGATAGGTCTCTTTATATAAGTTTATATTTGTTTTAAAAATTTTTTCCAAAGAAGAAATAATCTCTTACTAATACTAATGTGATTGTTAGATTGTTTAATATAGATGGTATACAAAACTTATGTATGCTAGCAAGTCACATATCTATTCAACATAAGTTTTTTACAAAAATTTCCAAATTTTGGAATATATGCTTTTATAAATCTTACTTTAGATCTAACTTGATCTTTATTGCAATAATCATAGGACCTTATGCAAATTTGTCTAAATAGTTATATTAGCTTTAAGATTTTTATTATTGATATTGATTGTTATTATACACAATACATAAATATTAAAAAAACATTACCAATTAATAAAGTGAAGGATGTATATTACTTCTAGTAATTGATTAGAACATTTAACTAATATTGCTTGATATTACTAATGTATCTAAAATTAGTCTTTACACTAATAGGCCTTATCTATGCATCTTCTTATCTTATCTTTCTTTAAAAAAATAAATCAAGAATTCTATTTTTAAAAAAATTGATAACTAATTTGATATTCTTTGATATTAATATTTTTTCAATCTTATATGAATTGATAGTCTTAATGTCAATTTTTTTGTTTGGTTCTTTACTTTTCTTGCAAAGGTCTTTGTATATAAAAAATCTAAAAAGTGACATTTACACTTATGTATTTCAAACAAGAAAAAATCACAATGACAAACATTTGGTGTGTGGTCTCCTTCATTGCACCCTCCATGCAATCCACTTCCCTCTTACATATGCCTTCTACCTTCCCTTTTTATTTTTATTTTCATTTTTTTTTTTAACCTTGCCTCAAAACTCCCATGTTTACTAAAAAAATGTTTTGAAAAGGTCCTTATAATATACTTGAACCCTTATATACTTATCCCCTCCACAAAAACAAAGACATTGTCACCTATTATGTCAACATCAAATCCTTGAAAAATTGACAAATAACCTTCTTCAAATCCAATGCTCTCTGTAACAACACTTGCTACCACAACCAATTATACAAATGGAAAATCGATGTGATCCTTTCATAATAGATATCTATTTACATGTCATCTAATAACATGACATATCCTCAACGAACGTCATTCAAATTGACAATAGCTGACTTTCTTTTGAAATAAAGAAGTCATCTCAGAAACGTTATCACAACTGGACCCACGTTTGCATGCATTTCTCGAACTGAAACAGTCTGTTCTGGGCTTTCGGCTTTGAGACGCAACTTTCACGAATATATTGACGTCTCAGCCGATGAAGTCCACGTCAGCTGGGTAAATATAGAACAAACTGGCTGCCGGGCTATATTCTAGAGCGAATTAGGGCACGACTAGGAGCCAGAAAAACTGTATGAATCCGAGGGGGTTTGGCAAGAAGCCTCTAATCCATCCCGTCTTCTAACATTAGCAAACAGTCCAACGCGTCTGGAACCATTATTGTCCAAAGTTCTAGCTGAAATCGTTACAGACTATCGCTGTTGTAAGAATTCAAACCACATGACCAATTCAATCAGACAGAGGAATGGCACAATAGGAGCTTTCAAAGATTCTGGCCTGTGCACGATGCCTCCGTGATAGCAACAGCTAATAAATAACGGACACACCTAATTTTCTTACTGCAACCCGGCTTTCAAGATGACGTCATTCCACGGCGTTGAGCCTATGTACATCTCTTCTAACACAGAAGTCCATATTCCTGTCGTGTATCTACTGCTCTTAGTGCACATAGTAGCTTGCACACTACACCCTAAGATAAAAGAAATACATTCTGAGCCTCACTATCACTGATATTCGTAACACCATTCAAAATTGTACCGGTCATGCTGAAGATAGCAGAAAAACACTATATTGCCAAACCCCTCAGTAACAACCGTTAGCCGTATACACAGCATCCACAATAACGATCCGAATCCATTACATCGCTCAATTACTAATGCAGACGCTTGGTGCCACTGTAAAGTCATGACGATTCGAAAATATGGAACACCCGCAATCGTTAGCAGACGACACAAGTACAAGAACAACAATTGTCAGATTAGCCACGAAATGGACAACGGTTCGGTTCCTCCCCTTACATCCATATCTAGCCTAAAATTTGGATCCCATAGTTTCGTTACTCTACGAAAAAACATAGTAGAGGAGCAATGAGTGCAGCCTCCTTACAAGACTTCTGAACCCAAAAATTTTGAAGAACTGCACTAAGACTTTGAATCAGCCTTTAAGTCAGACTTGGAATCCACCTTTGAGTCCACACCTGAGAACGAATTATCAGCCTTGCCAGGTTTCAAGGTCTTCCGCATGTCATAGGCATCCTCCCCATCCGCATAATACTTGGCCTCAACATCCGTAATCCTATACCCCAACGTCTCCGTGTACAAGTGAAATGCGGCACGGTTGCTCTTGCGCACATGCAACGACACATACTCCGCCCCAAACACCTCCTGCATGCACTGCTGCGCCGCAGTCATGAGCTTCGTAGCCAGCCCTAACTTACGGTGTGTCCGCAACACAGCCAGCGAAGTGATATGCCCGTGGCATTCCTCCGCGTCCTCCTCCATCTTGGCCAGCACGTATCCGACTATCTTCTTGTTGTAATCCTCTGCAACATAGAGCAGCTGCGGCCACGACAAAATATGATAGAAGTAATACTTCATTTGGTAATTCTCCGGCAAACACATCAAATTGCAACTCTGCATTGCCAGCAGGTCGTCTACGGTTGCTTGCCGTATGCAAACCATCGTTGCACCGTCCTCTTCCTCTTCCCCGCACCAAATCTCTCCGGTATCTCTCACACCTGCAGAGCAACTAATTCAGCTGCTCGTCCACCTTCGGTCCCCTTCACTATCATCAAATCCTGTACGCGATTGAAGCCAAGAGTCCCCTTCAAAAGCTAAGCCCTAGAATAACTCAAGAGCAAACCTAAAGAGATGGTCGCTCGTCAAAAGCAACTCCACGGCAGGAACCCAAAGAACACCCCCTCTTCCGTGGGCCCCGTCACCGGGACCCTGAGGGGCTATAACCGTCCCTTTTCAAGATGCATTTTTATTGGATCCTGAGTCTTTACGAGCAGGCATGATCTCTAGAAATCAATTAAGTTTTTTAACAAATAATTTGGTATCTAAATGTTGGCGGGAGTTGGGCTGTAAAACGTTTCTTTGAAAGGTTTAGTAATGCTTTTTTTTCATGAGATGTACAATGACTTTGACAAGGTTTAAAGTGTTGAACTTTAAATTTTAATTTGTGATGATAATGTAATTTCCATTTAAATTAATTAATTTGATATGAACTGAAATTGAAGAAGCTCCAATAGATATATAGAATTCTAATTTTTAATTTTATTTCAATTTTATTTTATTTTTTATAATTTGTATTGATTTATGAATATATGTCAAGGATAAGAACTCAATGAAAAAACAATCCAGATAAGTTAGTCTTTACTCAAAGAAAGGTAACAAAGTATGTATATTGAAAGAGAAACTAGAATGGCTATTGCCAAAAGACAAGAAAACTAGAGACCCTTGAAACTAGACTGGAAGCAAGAAAAGAATTGATAAGAGTGAAGAAGCCTTCACTCTTGTCTCTATATATACTATCTAACTAGGGGCTACGTGGCAATATTCTATAGGACCTCCAATATGTGTTGACTTTGTAAGACACATGCCTTGACTTACAAGGCAAGTTTTTCTACGTGTGAGCCACATAGTTAGCTTGATCTTCAAGCTAACAACATGTGTGGCACATGGCCAACTTGTTGACCACGTTTCTAATCCAAAAAGTCAATTAAAGACACCTATGAAGTCAAAGCAGCATTTATGAAGCTTCTAGAAAGCTTCCATATTAAATACTATAGAATTAACTTACTTTTACCTAATTTTACTTACTTCTATCTATTTGTATATGTAATTACTAGCTTACATGAGTATGTCTGTGATATTATCCTCCCTTCTAGGGACGAGTTCCACGAGGAGCAGTCATCATATGTTGAGGAAATCTATGATGCGACGAATTATATTCGCCACATACTCTGATCTTTGTTCTCTTCAAAGATGATTGATAGGGCCTCTCAACCATCGGTAGTGTCCTATACCAGGGCGAGAAGACCACTCAGTTATTTGATCATTGTTGAGGCCTTCATAACTTCCTTCGAATAGAACATTTGGAACACCATCAGGAGTTGTTCCTACCTCTAGCAAAATCACCAAACATGGGGAGTCTCTTCCCAATTGTGATACCAAACACGTTGTATCTCGCCATCTATTTGACGAAGAACATGTCGTTCTTAAAGATCTTCATCTTGATTGCATCGTCTTGAAGGTTGTGATAATCGTAATGTCTCATTCGACATGTCAGCAAATGAAGGCTTTTGAGTCGAATCCACTAATTGTTGGTTCTCCATCTCCTGAATGTCACAACTACAAAGAAGCTACGAACAAGGATTGAAAGTAGAATGTTATCTTGCCTAGATGTTGTTTCTTTTATAAAGAAAGTTTTCATCTTGATTTTGATGGATGTCATCGATGAAAAGCCTCCATCGCCTTTGCTGCATTTACAAGATTCTTTATTGGCTTCCATGTGCGTTCACTAATACCATATCCACGCCAATGGACAAGATATTCCAATTTATTTTGGCACCGCCTTGAATCTAAGACTTCTTCTACTTCAAACTCTTCATTATTGTCCACTTCTATAGGAGGAGGTGGAGCTTGTCGTCTTCTTGGTATGTCCAATGTCTTGTATGGTTTAAGATGAGATACGTGGAATACTGGATGGATTTTTATTGACTCCGATAGATATAAACGATATGCAACTGGATTGATTTGTGCAGAAATAGAAAATGGTCCTAGCCTTCGATAGTCCAACTTGTCAGAAGGACGAGTGGTCTTGATATTGCGACGAAGTAGCCATACCTTATCACCCAAGAAGAATGGTGGTTGTTCCTTTCGATAGACATCTGCATTGACCTTTTGTTGTTTCTGAGCCTCTTTTAGCTATGCCTTCATCGTTGCATGTAGCTTTGATAAATGAATCGCCAAATCTTTCACAGCAGGATTATCAACTTTTGAAAAGTCAAAAGTATCAAGTCATGGATGATAACCATAATTAGCAAAGAAAGGTGTTTGTTTTGTAGAAGAATATACTGTGTTATTATAAGCAAACTTTGCCAATGGCAAAAGAGTTATCCAATCATCTTGTTGGTAGTTAATGGTACATCTTAAATATTGCTCCAAAACTTGATTAACACGCTTCGTTTATCCATCAGATTGAGGATGGAATGTCGAAGATAGTTTTATATCCACTTTTAGAATCTTGAAAAGAGTCCGCCAAAATCTTGATACAAATTGAGTTCTCTTATGTGATATAATATCCTTGCGTAATCTATGATAGCGATAGATATTGTCAAGAAAGAGCTTAGCTATTTCTTCACCTGCGATAGATTTTGTACATGATACAAAATGTGCCATCTTGGTAAAACGATCTACTATCACGAATATAGAATCATAAGAACCTGAGATTAGAAGATCCGTGATGAAGTCCATAGAAACAGAAGACCATGGTTGTTCTGGAATGGGTAATGGCTGAAGAAGTCCAAAAGGTCGATGACGAGGAGTTTTTGATTTTGAGCAAACATCACATGATTGTACAAAATCTTTGACTGCCTTCCACATTTGAGGCCACCAAAAATCCTTAGATATCAGCTCGAAAGTCTTATTATATCCAAAATGTCCTACTGCTGGGAAGTCGTGACGAGCTTGAAGAACACGTAAACATGCTTCTCCTTCTAGAACATATAGGCATCCTACCAAATAGAGTAGGTTGTTCTTGAATTCAAATTTAGAAGGATGATGAGATTTAGAAGAATTATTCTTGATATCATGAACAAGAAGGTCTGAAGATATACTTAACTGGACTTGCTTAAGAAAAGTTAAATCAATAGTCAATGTTGATTTTATTGCTTGAAGATGAAATTGCTCCAGTTTGAAGAGAACCGTTCTTTGTTGCTCAAAAGTTGCATCTCCTTCTTTTGGTGCAAGATAAGAACGTCTAGACAAGGCATCGGACAAACCTTGTTGTTTTCGTGGTCGATAAGTGACGATGAACTCGAATCTTGATAAAGACATGCTCCAACGAGCTTGGCGACGATTTAATACGCGTGCTGACATAAAATATTTGAGGTTCTTGTGATCCGTATATACGGTGACTGGACTGGAAGCGCCTTCTAGATAATGATGCCATTCTTGAAAAGAATCCACAATTGCAAGAAGTTCTTTGTCATGGATCTCATAATTGATTTCTGCTGCATAGAATTTTCTTAAATGAAAGGCTACTAGATGAAGTTTGTCATCTGTTCCCATTTGTGATAAAACATCACGCAGAGCAAAGTCTGATGCATCTGTTTTCATAAAGAATGCTTTGGAAAAATCAACACGATACATAATTGGTGTAGAAACAAACGCTGTCTTGAAAGATTCAAAAGCAACTTCCATTTCTTGATTCTATTGGAGTTTGTCTTTACAAGTCAAACATGTAAGTGGAGCTGCAACTCAAGAGAAGTCTTTGATGAGATCCTATAGTAGTTGGCAAATTTCAAAAAATATTCGACATCTCTTACCGTTTTTGGGATCTTCCAATCTATAATAATTTGAATTTTTTTAGGATCCATCATAAGTCCATCATTTGAAATGATGTAACCTAAGAAATCGACTTGAGTAGTGTGGAATACACACTTTTCTATCTTGGCATAGAGTCCAGCATCTCTTAATTTTTGTAACACACAACGAACATGAAGTTCATGTTCTTCTGGATTCTTAGAATAGATCAAGTTGTCGTCTAGATAATAGACCACAAAATCATCCAAAAACTCTCGAAAAACATCATTCATTAGATGTTGAAAAGCTGCTGGTGCATTTGTAAGTCCAAAAGGCATGACGTTGTATTCAAAATGTCCATACCTAGTTCGAAATGCAGTCTTCCATTCATCTCCTTCTTTAATACGTACTAGATTGTATGCTCCTCGAAGATCTATTTTTGTATAGATCTTAGCTTGATTTAGCTGATCAAGAAGTCCAAATATTAAAGGTAGTGGATACCTGTTCTTGATGGTAATCTTGTTGAGTCCTCAATAATCAACAGACATCCGCAATGATCCATCTTTTTTCTTCACAAATAGAATTAGAGCTCTTGCTGGAGATTTAGAATGGCGTATGAAATTCTTTTCTAAATTTTCTTCAATATACTTCTTGAGTTCAGTCAACTCATTTTGTGATAAACTGTAGATTGGTCCAAATGGCGGTTATGCTCCTTCTTTAAGGTCAATTGAACAATCATAGGGACGATGTTCCGAGAGTGTATCTGCATTCTTTTTTTCAAATACATCTTGAAATTCCTGATATTGGCTTGGAATGCCACTTGAAGTCTTTTCACTAGTAGGAACAGGTGTGGCATAAATAATATATGGTGAATCTTTCATAGCAGTATGCAAGAAAGCTTTTGCACCTATAAATATGGGTTTAATTGAACTGGACTTATGACTCTCTACTTGATTAACTACACTGTTAGTTATACTTTTAGAGAAAGTAAGAGTTTGGAAAATCCAATCTATTTGAGGGTTGTATTTTTCTAACCACGATAAACCTAAAATGACTTGATTAGAGGGAGATCTAATGATATTAAATACTACAAAATTATTATGACTATTGATTATTACTTCTATAAGAAGGGTTTTGTAAGTAATATCTCCAGAAGATAATGGACGACCATCTATGACTTCTACATGAACAAATGTAGTTTTCTTTACTAAAGATATGTTATGTCTTTTAGTAAATTCTTCATCTAGAAAACATGTTGAGGCTCTCGAATCTAACAAGGTACAGACTTTGTAATATTTAGGTCCTAAAATAATATTCAATGTAAAACAAAGAGAGGGCTCTGAGG